ACGCACATTCCCGAACCCACCAAACATAATTTATTAAGTCACAAAGAAATCTAAATGCCGCTAAACTGCAGTAAGTATAATTACACTCACATTCGAGTTAAAATTTTTTTTTTTTTTTACTACTAAAAGGAGATTCAAGAACCTTTTTAATGTTAACTTATAAATATTTTGGGATATCTAAATGATTATATATTTGTGCTGGGCGTAGCATATCTAATAATTGTTCTTAATCACTTGATTCTTTTCTTGGAATACCTTCCCAATCATGGTAAATTGAATCGATGTATGATTGGGAGGTTTTAAGCCGGAATGGATCGAACGGGAAATAATCCTCCATGTTTAGTAGATTTTTCTTCGTTTCTTCATAACGTTCAAACCCGAGAGCATTCTTGCAATTCATAAACTGCAAAGCCTCCGAGATTGCAATGAACATTTTGACGGTATTAGCGGGGCAGACCTGCCGAGAACGAGTCACAGTTAGTCGATGCATTTGAAAGAATCCAAAAACGAAAAACTGATTAACAATGAGCAGCAACCTGGAGCGGTTTAAATTTGGATTTAATTATTCCTTGGAGACTCGTTATTTCGTGACACCAACGAGGTATACCATCAGTCACCTCTCTAAGATCCTTCCATCGGAAGCAAAAAATATACATCAATGATTGTGTAATAGTGTAAAATATCTTATGTCTTTGGGGATCCGGAATTTTCACACGACTTTCATAGCGACCAACATATCTCTCGGCCCATAGTAGTGAAGCCAGAACACACAGCCGAACATCACTTGAATCAAGATACTTTGCTCTTCCGACGAACGAGGCAACGTATTGAGAAGCAGCTTCTCGTATTATTTCCGGTTCCTTGTCAGCTAGCGCTTTGTGAAGAAGCGACGCAAGGAAAGATCTAGCGTAAGACTTGTCCAAAGAAATATACCAAAACATCAAAAATTGGGTGTATCGCGATTTGAAGGTGAACAGAATGTTTTCTTCAAAGATGTTCATTAGAATATCAAACAGGTCTTCGCGTTGATCATACCCCGAATTATCGTAGTACCATTTCAAATAATCGAAAACAAGCTTGATCATGCAGTCCAGCTTTTCTATGAGCTCCCCGACATCAAGAGCAACTATACACGGAGCCGAATCATCCACACTTTCAGATTCGTCTTCATCCGAATTGTAATCAAAGTCCCCGTTGTATGAACTTTGAGACGAAGTACTCATAAGCGATCTTCCTCTAGATCTTTGACTGCTTGTTGCACTGCTAACGTCCGAGTGAAGATTCAAGTCGTATCTGTGGGAAGAATCTTCAAGTGCCTCGATCTCATGCATCTTACCTTGCACTTCAGTCTATCACGTAAGTTACAAATAAAGTGGTGATTAATAGTGTGACCAGAAGACAATTGGAACCTAACCTCAACCAGAAAGCATAACTTACATCGAGTTCAATTATGCGCTCAAATATCAGTTCCAGAATCTGGGCCTGTAAACCCGGAATGTATTCGAGTAACTGCAAGAGGTTTTTGAGATAAGTCACTTGGGCCGACAGGGGTTCACTTTTGTGAGGAAATTCTCGGGATAGTATTTCAAATAATTCATCAGAGCCACTGGGAACCATTGGAAAGATATTCTTAAGCGCATAATGGACTCGCCCATGTATATTTTCAAGATTTTTTGGCACTGATCCATGCTTATCAACACCTTTATATATTAGTAAAAAGCGTCGGTTAATAAAATATGCTA